ATATATATATAGTTTTGGGAAAAAACATAGCTGAGTTTAAGGTTTTGTTTTTTCTCTTTTGCATGACACATAATATTCTTTTGGTCAGCATGCATCTGAAAAAAAATGAAAAACTTTACTGAAGACTTAAATACGCTTTTACTTGTTTGTTTTCAAACTGTACACTTTTTCCTCTAGTTTTTTTATTTATTTATTTTTTTGCTTGGTGTTAGATCTGTTCCAGGTAAATACCTTGTGCAAACTAAGTACATACTCAGCAGAGATGGGTAGAGTACCCAAACGTTATACTCAAGTAAGTGTAAAACTACTTCAACATATTTTCACTCGAGTAAAAATAAATTAGCCACCTAAGATAAATAATAAATTAGCCACCTAAGCCTTTTTACTTTTACTCATGTAAGAGTAAAAAGTATATTGTAACAAGGCTTCTTGATTAAAGAGTAACTGATCATGACATCTGATTGAATATTTTAAAATGATGTCATCAAACTGACAAAATTTGATGTTTTAAATGTTTTTAAAAACTAAAACAAACTTATTGCAAATAAATGAAATAATTATAAAACAACAAATTCCAACAGAATCATACTTTTCCAAGTCAATTTTGTACTTTAATGTTTATATAAATATACATATGTGTGTATATATACAGTATTTATATACATACATACATACATACATATGTCTATATATATGCCTATATCTTGGAAACCCGACATATATTTAGTATATATGAGTAGTGATATTTCTTAGCTGTGTTACTCAAGTAAAGTAAAAAGTATGGTGTAGTAAAACTACTACTAAAATTAAAGTTTTCTGAACTGTTACTTAAGTAAATGAGTAAATGTAACTAGTAATTACTCACCTCTGATACTTAAGTATCACCTGATACATACCAAGTAAGTATCACATACATACCAGATACATATTTGATAATTATCAAGTACTTTGTAAGTATCCAACATGTACCAGGTAAGTTCCTGGCAAGTAAAAGTTATGTACCAACTAAAAACCAATTATATGCTCAGCGAATACCAAGCACATACTTGAAAAAGTAGCAGGTAATTACCGTACATATCAGGTTATATTATGTATTGCTTCATAAAAATTTAAAACAATTACTCTTTTTTACTGTGTTCAACACAAATATAACGCGGCATTCAGAGTGATGGGTCTTGAGTTGAACGAAGGGAATCGCACCGAAAACCAGACCAGACTCCCCGGCGGTCACACCAGCCCTTCATGTTTGCTTCACTTCTCAGCCCATACACAGACACATTAACAAGGATGCATGATGCTGCTTCATGACGCTCTGAGCAGAGCTGCAGCGCGCACGGCGGCATAATGTGGCCACAGCAACACGTTTTAGCCCCACATGTTCACTTCTGCTCAGCTGAGTTAAGCTGTGAGACTGAGAAATCTATCGCCGTGGTCATTGGATGTTTCACATTTGGCAGCCATTCTTAGCAAAGTCTCCGGAGAGGGGCACATTGCTTGTGCCACCCCCTCCCCTCCAGCTTGTCCTTGAGGGCCATCGTCCTCTGTAATCCCTATAGAAAAGCTGTTCAGCCTATATGCTTTTTTTTTACTGTGTCCGTATCAAACAGTTCACCTTTTGGAAAAAAAATCCAAACAGCTGTTTGCAGAGGGTTAATAAAGTTTTGTTTTAATGTAGCGGAAAGGGAAAGGAAGTCACCTCTGGATGATGGAATTGGAAATTAAACAGTAAGCATCAACGCTCCTGCACCTGGATTGTGTTGATGCTAAGGATGGCTGTAAATGCGACGGGGGAGAGAACTGCAACCCAACACCACGAGCTCTAGATCTCATACTCACCTCCTATCCCAGGGCGAAAATTTCTGGCATAGCCCTTCATTAAATCATCCAGATTAGGCAACCAGGATATTTCAATGTCTGTACCTACATAGTCCCCAATGTCACTCAGCATGGCCCTAAAGGAGACAAACAGCAAACAGAGCAGCCTTCAGCCGTCATTGTGTCACACACACACATAAAAACAAATCTAAATGTAACACACTAATAGCAGTTGCACTTGCTCTATAAATAACACAGTTTGAACATTTGAAGGTTGCAGCGAACAAAAGGGCATGTCTTTTTTTTCTTTCTTTCTTTCAAACACTGACATTTGTTGAGCGCTCGGGTCGCAGACTGACTGCGGCTGCAAGCAGTTACAGGATAAACAAAAGGCCCAGACAAAAAAAAATAAATCAATCTGTGAAGCACAATTAAACAGAACCAGAGGAGAATTTCTCTGCTGCCAATTAAATGGATGGGCTAAAAGGTCAAACAATGACTGGGTTTAAAAGGAGCGTCCGAGAGAGGATGAGTGTTTTAAATGTAAGCCAAGAGAGGAGGTTAAACTGTAAAATTACAAATATTTGGGGTGGTCCATGCACCAAATTGCAAGTAAATTTTCAGTTTTCAGAAAATCATCCATGCATAGGGATGAAAATATGCATAGAAATGGTACATTTTGTTAAAATGAGCCTATTTTCAATCAAGAGGGTTAGGGTAATGTTTTGTTCTTGTTGTTGTTTTTTGCACCTGTGAAAATTTAACGAAATATCTCATGAATCAGCAGATCAATTTTAGTTAAACTCTCAGATATTCCTCAGATGTACTGTACATCTAAAGCTGATAAACTTCAGAAGTCAACCTGATTCAAGATGGCTGCCACAGCTATGCAATCTTAACAAACACGAAAATGACTCTATGTCAGTCCACAATATTTTAGCTCAAATTTGGTGTGGTAGTAGCTGAGTATCATCCACAACACATACTCTGAGCACTAACTGATCGTGGGAGATTAAAAACAAAAATAGATTAAAAACAACATGCTTTAAAAACATTGCCATTAATCTTCGGATGCAACTCTGTCTGTCTGTTAGCAAAATATCCCATGAACCACTACATAAATTGTAATTAAACCTTCACAAAATAATCATTAAACACACATCTAGATTTGATTAATGTTTTGAGTCAACCCGATTTAAGATGGCCACCACGGCTAAGTGAACTCAGCCAACACAAAAAATGGCCATTACTCAGTCATTTTTACTAATAATTAACTAGATTTTGGTGAGGTTGCAGCTGACAGTCATCCTCAACACGTTACGGTCTCACAATAGTGAGATTATTTATCATTTCAATCTTCTGTCAACATGAAATGATTTTTGTCTGAATCATTTGAACAAATGGTGGAGGGTCATTCTGCAGGAATTTTTGGCTTTTAATTTAAAGTGTAAAGATTTTTATTATTCAACGTGAAGCTGTTGTTTGATAAATCAGGCTTGTCATCGGAGCACAGTTTAAAATCACACATGCAGCACGAATGACTTGAGCATCAGACAAGGCACTAAAATCCTGTAAATTATAGATACAGGTTTCGGAGCAGTATCTGCAAAGCATTTTTAAAAAAAACATTTGTTACATTATTTAACAAAGACATTTTTAAAATGCCACAATGAATCTGAAGTGTTGAGCTGAAAGTATGATTAATGAGCTTTCAAACAGAAAAAAACAATCGTGTTTTCAGAGTCAGAGTGCTTACAACATGTTTTTAAAGAAGAGGTGATGCAACACAGAGGTAAACATGCCCCAGTTTCAGTCCTCTCCTGCAGTGCTTCTAACACATCCAGCAAACATGGGTGAAAATTAAACTCTGTTTAAAATCTGCAAAGATTCATTTTTGTTTGCTAAAAAAAATAGCATAAACTGCTTTCGCCTCTCGACAGACCTCAGCTTCATTTATGTTTCATGCATTTTTAATGTTGCAGCTGGAAAATTACACACTGAGCTGAAAGAGGCTGAAACAGAATCATGTTATAAGACTCGTTCATTACAACACTTTTAACAAATTATTATTATTATTGTAAAATTAGATTCTGTTCTGATTTATATTCTTGTTGTTCAACAATTATCACTTTCTCAATAATGTGCTTTTAAATAAGATAAAAAAAAGAATAGTGCTTTGACTGAAATAGTGGTGATAAAAAACTTTGTAATCCCATGTCCTTTTTAATTTGGAGACTGTCTCTAATGTGAAAACTGTTTGTTGGAAGTGTTGGAGTTTACAGCTCACAACCACCAGGTGGAAGTATTGTCATCTGAATCAGAAAGAGATGAGTTTTAAACGTGGTTTCACAGAAAAACAGAAAAACCTCAGCAACAACTATAAATAAATAAAAAACTACATCATGTACAAACTCATGCTCCTTGTCATGTGACCATGTATTTGCTATTAGTCCTTATATATTGTGAATGACTCTCAGCTACTACCACACACATCTGTGAAATTGTGAGTTATTACCATTTTTGTGTTCGCTAAGGTTGACCAGCTGTGGGGACCAGCTTGAATCGGGTCAACTCTAAAAATGAATGAGTTGTAGGTTTAAACACAGAGATTACTTTCTGAAAGATTCATTGAAATTTACCAAGTGATTTGTGGGATATTTATCCCTTCAGACAAACACACACAGTGAGTGATTTAAAAAAATTGCTAAGAAACTACTATTTTTCTACAGTGTCGATACCATTTTCTCTGTGGAATGGTATAGTGGCAGGTGTATTTTTAGTCTGGCAATCAACGAAATGGGAGCACTGGTGAGCTAATTAATCACTCCGTGGCTCCTGAATTTCTTCACTAATTGGTCGTTTCTAAATCTGGAAGGAAAGAGCTTTTCCTTCCAGAATTTTGCCCAGCACGCTGCAAGTGCTGGAGAGGTCAAACGGGCCTCCTTCACACGGCGTTCACAAGACGGCGTGAAAATGTTTGGGGCGCACGGGACAAATCCAACAAAGTCACAGTTTATTGTAATTTGGAGTGACTTTCGTGGGACGTGCCACACTGCGCCTGGATTAGGAGAACAACCGGGTTTACGGCAACAGTTCACTACTATAGAGTTATTTTTATTCTTTTTCATTTTTACTTCATTCATTGAAAGAAACAAAACAAACAAAATTCAAGTAATGTTAGGCAACAATTACTGTAGTAGTGCAGATACGCTTCTTATCGCCCACTAACAAAAGGGAAACTCATTCATTTGTCTGTCCCATTAGCAAAATAGCTTGTGATTTTCTGAACAGATTTCAGTGAAACTCAAAAAAATGA